GGTCTCAACCTCAAAGCTGAAATGGAAAGATCACCGAATCAAAGCCAGACTAGCCTACAGAGAGTTCCAGACCAGCCTGAACAAAGTCAGAACCTGTCTCAGGGGTGAGCGATGTGGAGGAGAAAATGCACTGGGGATGTAGCTCAATTAGCAGGGTGCTTTCCTAGCATGCAGGAAGGCCTGGGTGTGCTCTCCAGCACCACGAGCCCAGGCGGAGAGGCACAGAGCTCTAATCCTAGCACTGGGATGGGAGGCAGAAGGATCAGGATTGAAGGGCACCCTTGACGACAAGAATTCAAAGCTTGCCTGGAAGACCCTGCCTCCAAAAAGGAATGAAAAGAAAAAGGAGAGAAGAAGAAAAGATAAAGGGGAAAAAAGAGAAATGAATCTTGAGTTTATAAAAAAAGAATTTCTACCAGTGTCCAGCAGGGGACAGACTTCTCAGCCCTTATCAACAAATTTTATCAGGCCTGGTCCATTCTTGCTTTTCAGCTAGGCAGATGGGGAAGAAAAACCAAAAGTTGGGAGAGCAGCTGAGAAGAGCCTGGGCCAATAGCACCCACCGTAAGTGGGGAAGATGTAGCTGAGAACGGCCTGGAGCTCAGGGGAAGCCCCGAGCTGCTGCAGGACCTCAGCCAGGCTCTGGGTAGATGCTCGGCAGAAGGGAGAGAAACGAGTCAGCAGCCCGAACTTGTTGAGGAGCTGAGTCAAGGGCAACGGGATGAACTTCAGTAGGATGGCATGAGAGGCTCCACGGGCCACCACCTGTGGAAGAAAGGGTAGGGTGAGTCTCTGGAGCCCCTGTAGGCTGACACCTCTCTCACCCCCGGCACTGACTGCAGACCCAGCAATGCTTACTCATGTCTGAATTTTTGAACTTAAAAAAATGTAAGCTGAACAGGCATTATCGCTCAGGCTTGTGATCCCATCAGTTGAGATGCTAAAGCTGGAGAATTGCTATGAGTTCAAGGGCAACCAGAGCCATACACTGACACACGAGTCAGGACTGAATAGCAAGACTGTCTTCCTCATCACAACACATACAACAAAAAACTACAACGACAACAACAACAACATGGCCCTGGATTTTTCTCTTTCTTACCACTATGAGTCTATCATTGCCCTTCCTTCTCCAGCTCAAAAAAACTGTAGTTTTTTTATTATATATATAGAGTCCGATATATCCCTGTGAACACCTAATCCCCCTGCTCGTACCTCCTGAGTGCTTGGATTACCCTCTGCTCAGTTTATGAAGTGTTCAGGAACTTATTTAGAGGTTTGTATGTGCGAAGCATGAGCCATATCTCCTGCCCTCAAATTCCTTCCAAATATCCCGGTCCAGAAGCCAGGTGTGATGGCATACACCCAGCAGAGGCAGTGGATCTCTGTGAGTTCCAGGCCAGCCAGCGCTACACTGTGGGACTCTATCTCAAAAATCAAAAACCAACCAAGAGTCTGGCTCCTCTCAGAGGACATCTGACTTCCTCAAAGCCTGACTCCCCAGGGGTGCCATCTAGAGGCCAGCGTGAGGGCAGCAGCTGAAGAGCCAGGCAGGGCACAGACATACACAAGTGTACACTGCATTCAGGACAGACATGACCAGTCCTTCCTTCCTGCCTCCCTACCTCAGTTCCTCCCAACCAGGTCCTTCAGCAATGAAGCAGTCAGTGTTGTTGGGAATGAACTGTGGATGCTGATTGGGGTTCATGCTACCTTAACTAGCTCCATGTACTTGTCAATGACAGCTTCTTCCTTGGGGAACTTCTCCTTAAGGCCCTGGATGTACTGTTTCCTCCCACTGTACATGGGGAACTCCTTTCGGCCACTGGGACCTTCTAGTATCATCAGGTCATGAGGAGAGGCCATGGGAGCCCAGTCCAGCTGCCCTTCAGTGATCTGGTCCAAGATAAAACGGCCAATGTTGCCTTCCCGCATGCGTCCAACATAATGGATTCCTGTTGGGAAACAAAATGAGGTACAGAGAGAATAAAATTGGTCCCTGGAAATGTGCCAAGTAAGGAAGAGGTTGCCTGCCTGGCCAAGTTCATGCCCAGAGATGGCTGCCCACCTGTTCTACAGAAATCTACCAGAACATATATCACCCAATTCTTGCCAAGCCAGACAGAAATGGAGATGCCCAGAAAGAAGCTGGGACTTCAAAACATACAAGTTACATACAAAACTCCAAATTATCCCATTGTGCATACACAATATCATGCCATAGAACCAGTTCCTAGCCTTCCAAAGACAGATCCATGTTCCCAACCCTTTTCCGCACAAGCCTTACCAGTGTCAAATTCAAGACCATTTTCTCTGAAGGTATGACAGCAGCCCCCTGCCTTGGTATGTTGTTCCAGGACAAGGACTCTTTTGCCAGCTTTAGCCAGAATCGCAGCTGAGGCCAGCCCCCCAATGCCACTGCCAATCACCACGGCATCCAGCTTCTCTGGTACTCGGCTGGCTGAGAATACTGGGGAAGGGAGGAGACAGAGGGCAGGCTTCTCAGACAAGAACAGGGAGGCAGAGAAGTCAGAGAAGCCAGAGGGGAGGTATCTAGCTTATACTATGTGAGAACCCTCTAAGGCAAACTGGGCATGCTGGTGCACTACTGGGATTGCAGCACTTGGAAGGTGGGTTAGGAGTTCAAGGTCATCCTCAGGTATACAGATGACCTGCAGGACAGCCTGGGCTCATTAGACCCAGTGTTAAAATGGGACAGAAAGTGAGACCAACCCCTGTCTAGGGCACTTTAGCAGAGAACTCTTGATCAAAATGGCTCGAAACATTTTTCCAGAGAATACTCAATCAAGGCAGTCAGATTAATCAGTGATGAGATGGGTCTTAACCCCTCCTATGTATCTGGCATTTTCATACCTTTCAAAGAAAGTAGGAAGCAGCTGACTACCAGAAAGAGGGCAAGAGCACAGGCATTGTGCTATCTAAGTGCAGACATTTCTGTGAATGCGAACACGGAAAGAGAAGAACTCGGGGAGGGAGGAGCCTGTGCTGGGGGCTCTGGGAACTTGACTTTTTTGGAAGAGGCAAGGTCTAATAATGCCAATGGAGCTGGGGCAGGCAGGGCTGCTCAGAGCTGTTACTCTGAGAGTCACAGCACCAACCTCACACAGACCACTGGTGTGGCTGTCACCTGACAGAACCAAGCTAGAAAGCTCTTCCAACACAAGACCTGAGTTTGTTGTTTCTCCTGCTCTCTTCCTTCATTTCCCCTTTTGTTCTTTCCTTTCCGGGATTCATTGATGTGGGTTTTCTGGAGACAGGGTTTCACTGTGTAGCCCTAAAGGGCCTGAACTTTCTGTGTAGAGATCCACCTGCCTTTCCTCCCTACATGGGGTTACAGGAATGTGCCACTAGGTCCAGACATCTGTTCATTAAAAATCTCTGCCCAGGGCAGATGCAGGGGCGCACAGCTTCAGTTCTGGCAATCAGGAGGTAGAGGAAGAAGACTGTCAGTGAGTTTAGTGCCAGCCTGTTTTATATATAAAGTTCCAGTATAGACAGGACTACAGAGACAGACACTGACTCAAAAAAATAATTATTGCCGCTCAGGCCCTGGTTGCTCACATCTGTAATCCCACCATCTGTAATCTCTTTCTTATGGCAGTAGAATCAGTGTGAATTTAAGGTACAGTTGGCCCATATAGCAAGTTCTAAGATAGCCTAGGCTACAAGTATGAGATCTTTGCCCCTCTCCTACTCCACAAATAATAACAATAATAAAATACCTGGATTCGTACACCTCAGGAAGTAGACACTCAAAGATTAGGAATACATGGTCAGTCCCCAGGAAGTAGTGAATTGAGGTAGCCTAGGCTAAAGTTTACAAGCAAGAGTCCCCTGGAGGTCAAACAAGAGATCTTTGTTTGTTTTTTGAAGGTTTTAGATTTTTCTGTGTTTTGGTTATTTGGTGTTTGTTTTGACAGGGTCTTACTGTTCAGTCCAGGCTGGAATTGCGAGTTTGCACCACTATGCCCGGCTGCAACACTTCTTTAGAATCTCGAAGACCGGGCATGCTCATACCTGCCTCAAATCCCATCATCCTGTAGGCAAAAGCAGAAGGGCTGCTCCGAGTATGAGCCTGGGCTTCATGGTGAGTTTGAAGCCAGCTCCAAGCCAAAAGTGAGACCAAAAACCTTGGGAGCAAGCAACTCTAGTCATGTTTCACAGATGTCGGGTTGATGGGGAGTAGTGTTCTTATCCAAAAGCAGTAGTGAAACTTCCAAATTTATAATCAAACTTCAATCCTATGAACTGGGACTACACTCTGCCTGTCAAACCACTTGTTGGGAAAATTTTCTGTGCTGCTTCCCATAACACGAGTTTGCACATTAGCATAGGAAAAAGTTGGCTCTAGAACCAAGTAGGTGAAAGGTCTCTTACTCTGTCAGCTGTTATCTGAAGAGATTCCAACTGGAAGTGCTGGGACTAAGTTATGCCAATATCTTGGTGTGCCAAGGATAGTGCCCACACCCAAAACTTCAGGAGCAAAGAATACTAAGACGTGGAGGTTCCGTGTGCAAGTGAGTATTCCCAGCTCTTTTCTAATGGGCAGATAGGTCCTTGCCCTGCATGAGAAGACCTGAGAGCAGTCCTGGAACCCACAGTCCCTCCAGCTGACCTTGTTTAAGAACCTTCTTCCTAGCCTCCTTGTCGGTCACCAGGGGTTCAGGTGGCCGCTTGACGTCCTCGGCGAAGGGGTTCGGGGAGTTTCCGCTGAAGAGACCCAAGTAAACCCTGCGGAGACCCGCCAGCAGAAGCAAGGCCAGCAGTAGCACGGTGAGCCACATCTTGCAGCCTGAGCTTGGAATAAGGCGACTTCTCTAGCTGAGCTCTGTTTTTATGCCCGAAGCTCCGCCCCGCTAGTTTATCACAAGAGAAACCCCAAACAAACTACGTCCAAGGAACTTTGACCAATGCTAGCGCAAAGCTGATCAAGATTGTCCATCCTCGCTCTTTGTACAACGCGATTTCCATTGCCTGCTGGGAAATGTAGTTCTATCACGGGCCAGGAGCCGCTTAGAGCCTGTGTGATGAGGCCCCACAGGTGATGAGGTGACCCTTACTGGAACGTTTGGAACTCGTCCGGTGAGCCAGGGATAGGGTGAGGAAGATGGGGTTGAGGGAGACAATGTGGGATGGAAATGGTCACCGCTGGGCCACACAAGGCTGAAGGTTGCAGGTCTGAGGGCGATCCCGCTGGTGGGCAGAGAAGACCTGGTTTCTAGTGCCAGTTCTGTGATGGATTCGCTGAAACCTCGGAAGCAACTCGTTGCTTTTCTCTACTTTCCCTTACTGTCAGTGAGAAAGTTTCTGTCCCCGAGTCCCCACTGTTAGGAATATTTCTTAGATGAGCCTCTCTGCTGACGCAAATAATTCCATTCAGACCAGTGAGAGAGAAAAAAAGATTGCCAAGTTTAACGCGATGCTCCCGGATGGCCCCGGAAAAGCAGAGAGAGGAAAAGAGAGCAAGGGGAGACCACGGGAAACCCGGAAACCACTTGTTCATTCTCAGAGGGGCAGTTTAAATAGCCTATGGAAGTGGTCTTGACCTTCCCTGGGGAGGGGTCTTATGCCTGGATCCGGGATGAAGCCCCCAGGTAAACACCCACACAACCTCTGCTCTTTGGAGTTCTTGAAATGAGAGCCCTGTTGAGAACTGCACAAGCGCTCTTCTGAATCTGTCACTCATTGCGAGGTGGGGTGGGGGTGGGGGCTATGGGGACGGGACTGGTCCTTGAAGTTGCACCTAGCTGGATCCCCTAATCACAACTACTCTGGAAGGGGCCTCTAAGTACCAAACCACCTAGGAACAAGCGTCAAGAAAGACCATCAGGGATCATCATGCCCCTGTATGCATTTGTATTTAAGGATAAACCAGCTTCTAAATGACCTCTTTAAGTTAGCTCCAGAGGACAGTGTAGCTATCCTACCCTCTTAACGTTGCCCTTTGAGAAAAGTAGGTCCGAGATAAGTACTTGATTTGAGACTGTTTTTATAGGAAGCCCATTTCCTCAAACACCAGCCATGGGGGGGGGGGGGGGGGACTTCATAACTGAGGATTTTGTCCCTTTCACAGGCCCCAGCAGCGCTCCAGTCGACCACTGAAAGCAGGGCATGCCTCTGTGATGCTTGGTTTGTTTCCCACACAGTGAGAGGAAAACCTTCCTGAGCCTGCCCAGCAAACCTCCCTGTGCCCCTGCCAGGTTAGCCGGGGTGTGTGTGTGTGTGATCCTGTGCTGCCATCCAGGCCAAGATGGGAGGAAAGGAAAAGAGAGGTGTATGCTGAGGTTCCAGGGAGAGAAAGCTAGTTCCGGGGGATGCTGCAGGTCAGGGACTACCACATCCTTCCTAGATCACAGCCCAAAAGCTGTCAATGATCCCAGTTTGTTACTGGCAGCCAGACTTTGAGGAAGGTAGATAAGATTCCTCCAGTCGAGAGCTGACTCTGTGGAGATGCCTGTCTCCTGCCTTAGTCCTCCGAGCCTGTGAAGTATGACTGTCGGTTGTGTGAGAACCCTCCAGCCCCGTTTTTCTTCCCTTGGTATTAAGGGTAGAATCTAATGTCCTGCCGCTATGGTACAAATCCGGCCTTTCCACCTGACTCCTTGGTGTGGGTGTGCGCATGCCTGCCATATGGAAACAGAGAGGCTCGAGGAGGACTGCCAGTTGGCCTGTTCTATCTCTCTGTGCCTTGTGCCTTTGAAGCTGGGTCTCTGACAGAACCGGGAGCTAGGCCCATCAACCGGTAGTCATTACATCTTCATCCCCATACTGCTAGGAAGCCAAACTCAGGTCTCTACTCCTGAAGCAAGCTCTCTTACCCACTGAGCCGTCTTCCTAGCCTCTTCTTGTTATGCTTTTTAAAATTGTATTTACTGGGGCGGGGGGGGAGGGGCAAGTGTAACTGAGTTTGTCATGGTGCCTGTGTGGAGTCAGAAGACAACTTGTTTCTTTCCTTCTACCATATGGGTCCCTCTGGGGATTGAACTCAGGTCGTCAGTCTTGCTGGCAAGCACCTCTACCCACTAAGCCATTTCACCTGCCCTTATTTTGTTTTTTACTGAGACAAAGTCTTGCTATGTAGACTGGAGCTCTATTTAGATGAGGTGGTCCTCATACTTAGAGTGATTCTCCTGACTCTGCCTCCAGGGGCAACACTACCATATTGATTGTGATCCCTGATCTACATATTTTTTTCCATTGTTGGGAATTGAACCCAGGATCTTACACATGATGAGCAATTGCTTTTCCTCTGATCTATGTCCCAGGTCTCATGTTTTTCTGTTGACCCCCACACATCAATCCCTGCCACTAAGGTGTTGGGAACTCTTGTCCACGAGAAGACTGTCTCAGTTTGACACAATCATCTGGTGTGATAGGCGTCCATGATGTCTAGTCCCTCATGATTGTGATGTGATCTTTGTCCTGCCCTAGTCCTGGACAATATGAGATGAAAGGCATAGAGCAGGGCGAGAGTTCTCAGCTTTCCACAGCGTTTTCCCAGCCTTGAGGAGCAGAAGCAAGCCTCAGCTACATAGCAAGTCTGAGGCCAGACTGAACTGCATCTCCACATCCTGTTTGTATGTCCACATCCCTACGTCAGAGAGAGAGAGAGAGAGAGATAGAGATAGAGATACAGAGAGAGAGAGAGAGAGAGAGAGAGAGAGGAGAGAGAGAGATGCTCATCAGCTAAGAACATTTGTTGCCCTTGCAGAGGACCAGGATTGAGCTCTCAGCACCTGCACGGCAGCTGACAGGCATCTGTAGCTCCATCTCCAGCTGATCCAATACCCTATGGATCTGTGCATACATGATAGACAGACACACCTGCATGAATACAAATAATAATTTCTAAAAATTGGGTGTGGTAGTGTGGTAACACATTATTGTAATCCCAGCGTTAGGACTGTGGAGACAGACAGATCTCTGAAGCTCACTGGCTGGCCAGCCCAGCCTGCTTGTTGGATTCCAGGCAAATGAGCGATTCTGTCTGAAAAACTAAGCTGAACAGACCCTGGGTTGTAACAGCACCTGGGGTTATTAGGAACTTGTGCTTGTGTGTGCACATGTAAGTTGAGCTGAAGATGTAGTTCAGTGGTAGCTTGGCATGCATGAAGACCTGGATTTGATCACCAGCACCAAAACTACACACAAACAAATTTGGTCATTTTGACTTAGCAAGGTTACGATATCATCTGGTATTTTGAGTTTTTCTGTCCCTCTGGGGAACAGGCCTAGATTCATAAGCCCCAGAGCTCCTCCTGGGTCTATCACCTGAACAGAGCCAGAGCTCCTCAGTAAAGTGCAACCACCAGTCAGCCTCACCCCCATAAGCCAGCTAGGTCTCAGTGAGATCATGGACAGAAACAGACCCCACTAATTAGGTCAGTGCCACTGCCAACTAGACAGTCATAGTCCATCCCCAACCCCCTCCAGGCCCCTGTATGTCCCATCCAGTCCTGCATTGTGGGCAGTAAGCAGTAGTCATCTGGCTAAACATCCTGTGTATTTAGACTAGATTCACAGTTGATAGAAGATTTTAAGTCTTTTCCTCTTGAGTGGATGCATAACTGGATGATGAGGCCAGTTTTTTCTTCTTTTCCCAGCCCCGCCCCACCGCTGTTTTCCAGACTGAAGCTTCAGAGTCCCCAGGGCTCCGTTCAGGACGCACAGAAACCTCCTGCACCTTGGTGATGGCACAAAGGGACTGTTTGCTTACTTGTAGCCTGCATGGCCGCCAAGAAGGAAGGCAGAGGTAGAGCACGTGGGCCTGTGGCGCTCCTGGGAGCTTTGGAGCTCAGACCATCGAGTCAAGCCCTTTCCAGAGCCTGAGGACAGGCTCGTCTGAACCAGTGATCTTGAGGCATGAACGAGAGATCTTGCTCTGTTGGGACCGAGAACAAACTACGAGATGGACAGGTGAGCGCTCCTGCTCGGAGAAGGAGGTGCTGTTTGGGGGCTGCACGGTTAATGAGACAGACAATGTGGAGTTTTAGAAATATTTAGGGGAAATGATCGAATATCTATATTCTTGGAGACCATAGGCTGAAGGTGTAGTTCAGCAGTAAAGCAATTGCCTAGCGCGCCTGCAGCAGTAGGTTCTATTTCCAGGATCAGACGGACAGAACAGGCAATTCTAAGCCACCATGGTGGGACATCTGTGATGCTAACACTTGGGAGTTTGAGACAAAAGGATCAGAAACTCTAGGTCATCCTCAGCTACAGCATGAGTTCAAGGTCAGCCTGCGCTCAAGTGATCCTGTCTCAAAACCAGAAGAATCTGTCCACATGTAGGTGGTGTCTTGTTTCCTGGGTTATTTCAAGATTCTTCTTTCCTCTTGCTTGGGTGGGGAAGGGGGATGGGGTCTGAAATTCCCTAATAAATCAGTATTTCTTGGACTTAACATCAATTAATTTAGTATTCTCTTCCTTGTCATTCACTGGCTTTGGCTGATTGTCTGACTTAGCTTTTTAAATTTTATTTCTTTTTTTTAATATTTATTTATTTATTATGTATACAATATTCTGTCTGTGTGTATGTCTGCAGGCCAGAAGAGGGTTCCAGACCTCATTATAGGTGGTTGTGAACCACCATGTGGTTGCCGGGAATTGAACTCAGGACCTTTGGAAGAGCAGGCAATGCTCTTAACCACTGAGCCATCTCTCCAGCCCTAATTTTATTTCTTTATTTATTTAATGTGCATTGGTATTTTGTCTGCATTATGTCTGTGTGAGGGTGTCAGATCTTGGACTTACAGACAGTTGTGAGTGTCTATGAAACTGAACCTGTGTCTGCCAGAAAAGCAGTCAGTGCTCTTAATCACTGAGCCATCTCTTCAGCCCCCTTCCTTAGTGTTTTTATTGCTGTGAAAAACACCATGACCAAAAGTAGAGGAAGGAATTTAGTTCATTTTAGAACTCGCAGCCCATCCCTGAGGAAAGTCAGCAAAGGAACCTGGAGGCAGGAACTGACACACAGCCTTAGAGAACACTAATGCTTACTGACTTGCTCCTCAGGCTCGCATTCAGCCTTCAGCCTGCTTTCTTATCCCTCCCTGGACCTCCTGAGCAGGCGTGCACTGCCCACAGTGGCTGAGCCCTCCCTCATCAATTGTTAGTCTAGAAAGTATCAGTCAGACAGTGTGGCACAGGCATTTAATCCCAGCACTCAGGAGTCAAGGACAGGCAGAGCTGAGTTCAAAGTCTCCTGGGACTGCATAGTGAATTCCAGTCCAGCTGGGAATAGAAAATGAAACCCTGTCTCAAAATAACAGACTTGTCTAAACGCCCGTACGTATGAGAGAGATGTTTCCCCAGCGGTGGCATCATCCCCCGACTGTGCTAGTTTTATATCAAATTGACAAAAATGTAAGCAGCATACTGACCGCCACCCTGAGGCCCGCTGGCCCACAGTCACCGCGTGCGTATGTCCATGTGAGCCTGGCAGCTAGCCTACACTCTATACCTTCCCCTCTGTCTTGCTGCCAGAAATGAGGTTCAGGGACCAGAACACAAACAGAGCATTTGCTGAGCTCTCCAGGGAGGTTTCCTCCTTCTCAGAAGGGGACAAACTGTTCTTCCAAAGGGAAGTATAAGGAAGGGGCTGAGATCTAGCCAGAGGAGAATAAAGTGAATCTGGTTTTTATTCACCAAATATTTCTCTCTTTTTTTTTTTGTGGATTTTTATTGAGCTCTACATTTTTCTCTGCTCCCCTCCCTGCCTCTCCCCTCCCCCGTTCCACCCTCTCCCAAGGTATTCATGCTCACAATTTACTCAGGAGATCTTGTCTTTTTCTACTTTCCATGTAGATTAGATCTATGTAAGTCTCTCTTAGTGTCCTCATTGTTGTCTGAGTTCTCTGGGATTGTGGTTTGTAGGCTGTTTTTTTTCTTTTTCTTTCTTTTTTCTTTTTCTTTATGTTTAAAAAGCACTTATGAGTGAGTACATGTGATAATTGTCTTTCTGTGTCTTAGTTACCTCACTCAAAACAATGTTTTCTAGGTCCATCCATTTTCCTGCAAAATTCAAGATGTTTTATTTTTTCTGCTGTGTAAATGTACCACATTTTCCATTGTGTAAATGTACCACATTTTCCTTATCCATTCTTTGGTCGAGGGGCATTTAGGTTGTTTCCAGGTTCTGGCTATGACAAAGAAAGCTGCTATGAACATAGCTGAGCACATGTCCTTGTGGCACGGTTGAGCATCCTTTGGATATATACCCAAAGTGGTATTACTGGGTCTCGAGAAAGGTTGTTTCCTAATTTTCTGAGAAATCACCACACTGACATCCAAAGGGGTTGTACCAGCTTGCACTCCCACCAGCAATGCAAAGTGTTCCCTTTTCTCCACAATCTCTCCAGCATAATTCGTCATCAGTGTTTTTTATTTTGGCCATTCTTTTTTTTTTTTTTTTTTTTGGTTTTTCGAGACAGGGTTTCTCTGTGGTTTTGGAGCCTGTCCTGGAACTAGCTCTTGTAGACCAGGCTGGTCTCGAACTCACAAAGATCCGCCTGCCTCTGCCTCCCAAGTGCTGGGATTAAAGGCGTGCACCACCACCGCCCGGCTATTTTGGCCATTCTTACAGGTGTAAGATGGAATCTCAGAGTTGTTTTGATTTGCATTTCTCTGATGGCTAAGTATATTGAGCATTTCCTTAAGTGTCTTTCAGCCATTTTAGATTCCTCTGTTGAGAGTTCTCTGTTTATGTCTGTACTCCATTTATTTTTATTGAATTATGTGTTCTTTTGGTGAACAATTTCTTGAGTTCTTTGTATATTTTGGAGATCAGACCTCTGTCTGATGTGGGGTTAGTTAAGATCTTTTCCCATTCTGTAGGCTGTCGTTTTGTCTTGTTGACTGTGTCCTTTGCTTTACAGAAGCTTTTCAGTTTCAGGAAGTTCCATTTATTAATTGTTTCTCTCAGTGTCTGTGCTGCTGGGGTTATATTTAGGAAGTGGTCTCCTGTTCCAATGCATTCAAGTGTATTTCTCACTTTCTTTTCTATGAGGTTCAGTGTGGCTGACTATGTTGAGGTCTTTGATCCATTTGTATTTGAGTTTTGTGCATGGTGATAGATATGGGTCTATTCTCATTCTTCTACATGTTGATATCCAGTTATGCCAGAACCACTTGTTAAATATGTTTTCTTTTTTCCATTTGATATTTTTTGCTTCTTTATCAAAAATCACATGTTCGGGGGCTGGAGAGATGGCTCAGTGGTTAAGAGCACTGGCTGTTCTTCCAGAGGTTCTGAGTTCAATTCCCAACAACCACATGGTGGCTCACAACCATCCGTAATGAGATCTGGTGCACTCTTCTGGCATGCGGGTATACATGGAGGCAGAATGTTGTATGCTAAATAAATAAATAAATAAATAAATCTATCTTTTTAAAAAATCATGTGTTCGAAGATGTGTGGATTGATATCTTGGTCTTCTATTCTGTTCCATTGGTCCTCCTGTCTGTTCTTATACCAATACCAGGCTGTTTTCAGTACTGTAGCTCTGTAGTAGAGTTTGTGAAGTCAGGGATTGTGATGCCTCCAGAAGTTCTTTTATTGTATAGTATTGTTTTGGCTATCCTGGGTTTTTTGTTTTTCCATGTGAAGTTGAGTACCTTTTTTTTTTTTTTGAAGACTGTGAAGAATTTTGCTGGGATTTTGATGGGCATTGAGTTGAATCTGTAGATTGCTTTTGGTAAGATTGCCATTTTTACTATGTTAATTCTGCCTACCCAAGAGCATGGGAGATCTTTCCACTTTCTGGTGTCTTCTTCAATTTCTTTCTTCAAAGATTTAAAATTCTGTCATACAATGTCTTCCACTTGTTTGGTTAGTTAATTCAAGATATTTTATGCTATTTGTGGATATTGTGAAGGGTGTTGATTCTCTGATTTCTTCCCAGTCCTTTTGTCATCTGTGTACAGGAGGGTTACTGATTTTTTTGAGTTAATCTTGTATCCTGCTACATTATTGAAAGTGTTTATGAGTTGTAGAAGTTCCTTGGTAGAATTTTTGGGATCACTTATACAAACTGTCATATAATGAGATGATCACGTGCTTTTTATTTTTCAGCTTGTTTATATGGTGGGTTATGTTGACAGATTTTCTTTCATACATTGAATTATCCCTGTATCTCTGGGATGAAGCCAACTTGGTCATGGTGGATGATGGTTCTGATTTGCCAGTATTTTATTTAGTATTTTTGCATCAGTGTTCATGAGTGAGATTGGTCTGTAATTCTCTTAGTAATGTCTTTCTGTGGTTTGGGTATCAGGGTACTTGTAGCTTCATAAAAAGAGTTTGGCAATGTTCCTTCTGTTTCTATTATATGGAATAATTTGAGGAGTATTGGTATTAGTTCTTCTTTGAAAGTCTTGTAGAATTCTGAGCTGAAACCATCTGGTCCTGGGCTTTTTTTGGTTGAGAGACTTTTGATGAGTTATTTACCAAATATTATTGAGATATATTGTCAATAAAAAATTATTGTATCTTGTACTAGGCCGATGGATGTGGAAAGCAGAAAGACATATTAGAGAAGGTCTCCGTGTAGCTCTTTGCACAGAAACTTAGATTGTATGCATGGGAGTCATAAGACTTATAGAGGGGGATAGAGCTGGGCGGTGGTGGCACATACCTTTAATTCCAGCACTCAGGAGGCAGAGGCGGGTGGATCTCTGTGAGTTTGTGGCCAGCCTGTTCTACAGAGCAGGTTACAGGACAGGCCCCAAAGCTACAAAGAAACCCTCTCTTGAAAAACAAAACAAAACAAACAAAAAGCAAAAAAAAAAAAAAGTTAGTTACTCTTCTAGAGGACCCACGTCAGTTGGCTCATAGTCTCCTGTAACTAAAGCTCCAGGAATCGGTGTCCTTTGTGGCCTCTGCACACATATGACATACACTCACACAGATATACACACTTAATCTTTAAAAAGTCAAAATAAAACTTGGTGTGGTGGCCACCCCTTTAGTCCCAGCACTTAGAGGCAGTGACAGGTGGATCTCTGTGAGTTGGAGGCCAGTCTGATCTACTTAGTTAGTTCCATACCAGCCAGGGCAGCACAATCAAATCCTGTCTCAAAAGAAAATAAGGGGCTAGACAGATCTCTCAGTGGTCAAGAGCACTGGCTGCTCTTGCAGAGGCTCCAGATTCAGCGTGTGCACCATGTGATGGGTCGTGACCATCTGTAGTTCCCGTTCCAGGAGACCTGATGCCTTCTAGCCTCTACAGGTTGCAGGCATGCGTGCATGATGTGCACAGGCATGCATGTCAGCCTCATACTCATACGCATAAAATAAGTCATAAGTCTTAAAAAAAATTGAGAAAGGGTTTCTCTGGGTAGCTTCAGCTATCCTGGACCTCATTCTGTAGACCAGGCTGGCCTTGAACTCACAGAGATCTGCCATTCTCTGCCTGCTGAATGCTGGGATTAAAGGCGTGTGCCACAATTGCCCTGCTACAGATTTGTGTAATTTTTTTTTCTTTGGTTTTTTGAGAACTTCTCTGTAGCTTTGGAGCCTGTTCTGGGACTCACTCTGTAGACCACGCTGGGCTGAACTCACAGCATCCTGTGCACTCTGTGTGTGTGTGTGTGTGTGTGTGTGTGTGTGTGTGTGTGTGTTTGACAATGGGAAAGAGAGGAGGAAAGAGAAAGGTAGGAAGGAATGGTAAGATAAATGAAACACATGGGTAGAATACGGTGAGGTGGCTCTCTGTTGAAACTTCCCCACCTGTCACCACAGCCCTCGGGAGGAGCTGGAAACAAAGGGGTCAGCACTTGTTATAAGCCAGCCAGAGCTCCAGAATGAAACAAGATTCCAAACAAACAACAGTGATGGAATGAATATTAAAGGTAGAGGCATCTCTTCCATTCTGAGAAAAGGAGAGCTAAGTTCCACAGGGCGCGTGGAAAGAGGCTCTCGGGTCCTACAGTTGGCGCACAGATACGGCAGCCTGTGTGCTGTGATAAATCCCAAAGACCAGCACTTCCTCACTGAGTGGACCTACTTTAAGGTTTAGAGTTTTGTTTGGTTGTTTGATTGTTTTTTGTTTTGTTTTGTTTTTCAAGGCAGAATTTCTCTGTGTAACAACCCTGGCAGTTCTGGAACTCTCTTTGTAGACCACTCTGCCCTTGAACACAGAGATCAGGCCTCTGCTGCCCAAGTGCTGCCTCTGCTGCCCAAGTGCTGTGGGATTAAAGGGGTGTGCCAGCACCGCCCAGCAAAACTATATTCTTTTTTTTTTTTTTTTTTGGTTTTTCGAGACAGGGTTTCTCTGTGGTTTTGGAGCCTATCCTGGAACTAGCTCTTGTAGACCAGGCTGGTCTCGAACTCACAGAGATCCTCCTGCCTCTGCCTCCCAAGTGCTGGGATTAAAGGTGTGCGCCACCACCACCCGGCAAAACTATATTCTTTAAGAGGACATTTACATCATTAGAACATCTTTCTTGAAACTTTCTCTTTTTTATAACTTGAGTCTGTGTTCTTGATTGTAAATTTTATAGATGAGTGTGTCTGTTGTAAGGTTGAAAGGTTAGACACGCCTGCATGTTATTGTAACCCTTGATCATCCTAGCTAAAAAAAAAAAAAATTATCACATTTTTTGACCTTTGAGAAAAGAAACATTATCTCAGAATAGTTCATATGCCATTTATTCATATGTATTAGGGTTCTCTAGAGGACAGAACTGATTGTGTGTGTGTGTGTGTGTGTGTGTGTGTGTGTTATATGTGTGTGTATTCGAGTGGCTTACAGGTTGTGATCCTACTAACCTAACAGAAAGTTCAAGAATCTGGCAGTTGTTTAGTCCATGAGTCTGGACGTCTCAGCTGGTCTTGAGAACACACCAGAATCCTGAGGAAGTAGGCTCTAATGCCACTGAGGGGATGCACTTGCCAGCGAGAGCGAGGACCAGCAGGCAAAGTCAAAGCCTCTGTTTTTGTGTCCTTTATGTAGCCTGGCAGAAGCAGGTACGAGCCCAGAGTTAATGTGCTTCCTTCCACTTCAGATGGCCAAGAAAAATCCCCTACGGTCTGTCCAGCAGCTTGATTTGTTAATACTAGATTTGTCAAGCTGACAACTAAGAATAGCCATCACATCTATGATTTTTAAATCTTGGGGCTGGAGAGAGGGCTCAGCAGCTGGAGCACTTGCTGCTCTTGCAGAGCTCCTAGGCTCAGTTCCCAGCACCCACGTCAGAGGGCTTGTCACCACAGGACCCAAGCCTCTCCTGGCCTCCTTGAGCGCCTGCAGACACATGGCATTCTCAGATTCACGGAAAGACACACACAATAAAAATAAGATACAATTCTGAACAATAAGGGTGTGCTTTTGAGCCAGGGAGGTGGTTGACAGGGTGAGGCTCTTTCTGCACAACGTGGATCCCCAGAACCCATGTGACCAGATGTGGTGCCCTGTGTCTATGACCCCCATGACGAGATTGAGGTAGTCCCCTCAATGTTCCTGATAGCCTGGCACACCAGCAAGGAATAAGAGACCCTGTCTCAAAACAAGGTGGGAAGTGAGGATAGACATGTTAGGTTGGGTTCTGACTGTCACACATGCGCCTACACAAACCTCACACTTCAAGTCATTTAAAATGATATTTCCTTCTGTGCAAATCACGGATTTTCTACTGGATTATTTTTGTGTTTTGTGTGTGTGCCGGTCTTGCTTTGTAGCCTAGACTGGTCAGCTAACAGCATCTTAAGTGATGGCTCTGCCTCCCGTGGGCTGGGATTGCAAGGCTGTAACTACCACTCTCGGTTGTTTGGTTTGTTTGGTTTGGGGAAATGGCTGAGTGGTTGGTTTGAGACAAAATCCCCTGTGTGTGTTTTAAAATTTATTTTTCCTAACTTCAAGAATTTGGTACATGTATATGGTATATATATATGATAGCATTTGCCTCTTACTTCCGCCCCTAACTCTTCCCAGAGCCACTCCCAACCCCGCCCAAATTCATGACTTCCCTTTAATAAAAAAAAAAATAATGCCTCAAGTGCAGTTTGTTCTACTCAGATGTCTGTGGGGGTGAAGGGAGCTGCTGGGGCACTGGGACCATTCAGGGCCCACACATCTTAAGAAAACTGACTCTCCCTCCCTGTCACGTGCTTCCTGAAAAATTTTCTTTTAATTTACTGGCTTATAGAATTCTTTCCTAATGTGGTAGGAGGATTGGCCCCTAATCTGTGCTTGTGATGTGAGGGGGAACCAGTTATGCAAGTGTTTTGTTGCTGTGATTTGGTTTTGCCTCTTTTGTTTTTTGTTTGGTTTTTGGTTTGTTTTGTTTTTTGAGACAGTGTCTTCTGTGTAGCCCTGGCTGTCCTGGAACTCACTCTGTAGACCAGGCTGGCCTCAGACTCTCCGCCTGCCTCTGCCTCCCAAGAGCTGGGATTACGGGTGCGCGCCACCACTACTTAGCTCTTATGTTTTTTAAACGCTATTAGGGGAAAGGTTTGCTGAGTGAAAGGGCTGGGCAAAGTGCCTAAATGAACTTCACTGATGCAAGTTCCAGGACTTAGGGGCCGGCGAGATGGCTCAGCTGTAAAGGCGCTTGCTGCCAAGTCTACTGAGTTCTGTCCCCAGACTGACATAGTGGAAGGAGAGACCCAACTCCTACAAATTGCCATCTGACCTGCACATGCATGCTTTGACACACTTGGCCCCATACATACATATGTACAAGCATACATGCATACATCAAGTGATTTCTTAAATAACATTAAGTAATCCTTTTATGGTTTTGTCCTCCCTTCTTCTACCCTTTATCCTCCCTTCCTTTCTTTTATGGTGGATACCCTAGCCATATCCGTGCTACACCGTGTTAGACCTACAGTACTACATGTACAATGCTACATGCTTCTCTTCAGATCATGTGAACCCAGTGTCTCAAGCAAAAGCCTGCAGCACCACCCCCTCTGTGGGAGCTGAGGGTAGAGATAGGGTCTTCTGTTCTCCCGCCTCGACCTCCCAAGTGCACCACAATGTCTAAATGGTTTTCTTTAGATTTTTCCAAAGTTAATTTCTTTCTTATTCTAGGAAAAGATGAGGAATTTAAACCATGGGCTATGGGAGATTGCTGCAGGAAGTTGGTCCCAGTCTGTCTGTCTGTCTGTCTTGCAGGTGGAAAGTGTCTCTGCTGGGCACTCCTCATTGTACAAGGACAGTGGCGCACTCGTGGCTTTCAGAGGAGTTCCGGTATATATCACATGCTCTTGCGTGCCTCTGCTGCCAACCTAGGCTTCCGTGTACTGGGGACACAGGAGGGCAAGCACAAACCCGACACACAGTGTCTGTCTGATAAGATCATAGCACCCAGAGGATGAGCATCAAATGCACTAGGGATGCCAAAGCACACCGCTGTCCCAAGGGGCTGTGTGCCTCTGTTTATAGCATTCAACAGGACATGCGTTTGTCCCACACATTAACAAACTGCAACTGCACAGTCAACGTATCCAGGAACTCCACTTTAAGAATACCTTTTGGCTGGAGGAGGTGGTGCAGGCCTGTAGGCCCGAGCATATCAGAGTCTGAGACAGGAAGACAAGAGTTCAAGGCCTGCCTGTGCAATATAGCTATGCTGTGTCTTCAACAAAAACAAGATTGAATTTAGAACTGGGGTGTAGCTCAGTGTAGAATGAGTGTTTAGTGTGCACTCGGCTCTGAGTTCACATGAGTGTGCACACACACAGGCAGTTAGGACTGAGGTAATCCACAGTAAAGTTGTTGTCGTGCCCACATGCGGACCTGGGTTTGATGCCTGAAACGCACGTAAAGGCTAGGCATGGGGGCTGTGCTTGCAATCCTAGTGCTGTGGGGGCAGAGGCGGGCAGATCTTGGGGCTCAATGGGCAGCTAGTCTAGCCAAAGCAGGGAGCCTCAGGGACCAGTGAGAGACCCTCTTGCAAAAAGCAAAGTGGAAGTCTCCTGAGTAACAAAACTCAAGTTCACCTCTGGCCTACATGAGTGCACACACACACACACACACACACATACACACTCACAGACACACACACACACACACTTACTTTTAATCAGTCCATCTGAGCAGACTATATTCTTCCTGTCTCTCATTTCCAGAATGTTTCATATACAGTGGGTGGGAAGAGCTGTGTGGGTGGAGACAGGAAGTCTACCCTCATTCTAAAGGTCGCCTGCCCCTACAGATCTCAGAGCTGAAGAACCATGGCATTCTCCAGGCCCTGACCACAGAAACCAATGGATGGCAGCCAGCTGGTAAGGACTCCAAGGACCCCTAGGGATCTGCTTTCCCTCGTCAGAATCCTCCTTGCTCCTGCCCTTTCAGAGTTTTGTATGTATCATTCCCCAACAAAAGTTAGAAACAGTGTTGGGTTAGGAGCCAGTTGATCTGTTGGCAGTTTGCTCTGTGCTTCCGGGCAAGCCGTGTTTATTAGTTTACAGTGAACAATTTAAATTACATTTTCTGTTTATGGGGGGACCACGGGCCAGAGGATGACTTGCTGGAATCAGTCCTCTTCTCCCACTGTTCAGATCCAAGATGAAATCAGGTTACCAACCTTGGAGGCGTGAGCCATCTCACCAACACAGCAGTGAGGATGTAAACACCTCTCATCCTCAAGGACCGTACAAAGCCAGGCATGGTGGTCCTCGCCTTTAATGCCAGCACTCAGGAGGCAGCGGCAGACTGATCTCTGTGAGTTCAAGGCCAGCCTGGTCTACAAAGTGAGTTCCAGGACAGCTAGGACTGTTAAACAGAGAAACCCTTCCCCTCACCACCAAAACAATAGTGCTCTTGGCTAATTTCCATTTACAGGATAACTAAATCAGTGCTGTTTAGCTGATGGATAAACGGGAGAGGCAAAATAAAGGAGTCAATTAGATAGCAAAAGAAAGGAAAAGTGTGAACTGCATGAGTTATCCTAGAGATATTTGCTTCACACACACACACAAACACATACATGCACACACACACATACACACTCTCTCACACATACATGCATGCATGCACGCACACTCACTCCTGTGGGTCCCTATGTCATGTCAGGATCATCTTCTGGGTCCAAGAGGACAGGGACAGTGCATACATGGTTTGTCCATCTCTCTCCAGATTTTAGGCACCCACTAGCTGAAACCTTGAACTTGGTGTTGCATAACTGTTGCAATGGCAGATTCCTTTGCCCTCTCGCCAGGGTTTTTCTTCTGGCTCACACATGTGGTCAGATCACTTGTAGGTGAGAGGGCATTGGGTGAGAGATAGGTCTATCAATGATCAAGGTGCTCGGAGACCAGGGTTGAAGGTAGGAAGGCTGTGTCCAGCCCCACCACTTTCCCTGTGTTCCACACTCCTCACTCGTTTTGTTTTCTGTTCTTTTGAGACAAGGTCTTGTGTAGGCCCATCTTTCCTAGAGCTCATTCTATAGATCAAGCTGGCCTTGAACTTGTTGTGATCCTCCTGCCTCTGTCTCCCTGTTGCTGGAGTGCACCACCTTGCTCTCTTGCTTTTAAAGAATTATGTTTATGCATATATGCATGTGTGTATGTCTGTGTGTGTATGAGTGTTGCTGGGTGCCCGTGGAGGCCAGAATAGAGTATTGGATGCCTTGAAGCTAGAGTTACTGTCATCTATGAGCTCCCAGGACAGGTGCTAGGAGCCAAACTGAGATCCTTTGGAAGAGCAGCAGTTTTAACTGCTAAGCCATCCCTCTCCAGTCTTTCCTCTCTGGAGTGGGAGCTGAAGACCAAACCCATGGCCTTACACTTGCTAGGCAGATGCTCTGAGCCAAATCCCCAAGCCCTCATTCATGTCTTTTTATTCATCCACTTTGTCCCTCATTTTTATCTCCCATAGTCTTGCATGCTCAAGATTTAACTCCATTTTCTCTATTCATACAAGACCAAGTCTGTCGACATTATATAACTAAGTCGTTCTGAGTCTGTGTCTGCTACCCAAAGGCTAGAAGTAGCCAGATGGAATGTCCTCGCAGTCCATTCCTTAGGACCCTGAATCCATTTCCCCATCCCACTCTGACTTGCTGGCCTAAGGCCATGGCTGTGTCAATAACAACCCTAGACTGCATCCCCTATAAGAAGATGGAGAATTGCTCATGCTTACGACGGTCCCGTGAGAACTCACAGATGCTTACGTAATTTGGCCAAAAAAAAAAAAAGAATACAGCTAGTAAGCAGCAGCAGTGAGTGATCTCCGCTTCCCGCCATTTTCTCCTCAGTTTTCATTAGCTTTCAGGGTGTTTTATTTAATCTGCATGTTTGTTCCATCAATCTGTTTTTTATTAGTACAACAAAGCGCCAGAGGCTGGGTAATATTCTGTGGAATGGGTTTTAAGCAGGCATGATGGCACATGTCTGTATCTCCAGCACTTGGGAACTTGAGGGAGATAGAAATGTCAGAAGTTTGAAGTTATTCTTGGCTAGATTGTGAGTTCAAGACCACCCAGGACTACATGAGACCTACCTAAGGTCCAAGGTTCAGTGAAGTTCAGAAAGGGCTACATCTGGTGTCCTGCCTGCTGTTGGAGTCCCAAATTGGTGCAGGGTATCATATGACCAAAGTCATGTGACAGTGTCTCCTCTAGTTCCTGTTCTTCCTGTTTTATTTCAAGATAGGATCTAAGTAGACCAGGTTGGCTTGGAACTCACAGAGATCTGCCTGCCTCTTCCTCCACCTCCCAAGTGCTGCCATTAAAGATGTATGACACCATGCCTGGCAATTTTTAAATTATATGAATTGTAATTTTCATAAAAGTCAAAATGAAGTCTTTTGACGAGGACAAAAGATATACCCAAGCACCAGATCCTGTTTGTACAAGGTCATTGAAAGTCATGAATACTCATGATTTAAAAAAAGGTTGATTCGATGGCAGACTGAGCAATGACCTGTCTAGTATCCTTTTCAATCTTTTTGTTATTAGAAGTTTTTTTCTCATTATTATTACTATTTTTAAGACATGGTCTTACCATAGCCCAGGCTAGCCCTAGACTCACAGCAGTCTTCCTGAGTGCTGGGTTTGCAGACATGAACCACCATGCCTGGCTTCAGGTTGGTATTCTCTAAGCCCAGCATTTTGTATTTTGTGATTCTGGCTGGCACAGTGTCTGCTTTCTAATATGTGAGCTTAGTCAGTTATTCGTGGGAGTTCCATTTGAAAGTGATATATTTACAAAGATGACACGAACATAAACTCAGCAGTCAATACACATGTGTGTTTCATTCCTGTTTATCAGTTTAAGATGTTCTAGTACTCCAGAGCTGACTACGCACTTCAGGGCTGGCAAGATAAAGGGCTCGCTATGTAAGCCAGATGGCTAGAGATGGATCCCCAGAACCCATGTCGTAAAGGGAGGAGACAGCCGACTTCCAGAAGTTGTCTTTTGACCTACACGTGTGCTGTTGTACGTGTGTGCTCACACAAACACGGACATACATCTGATAATAATAAGTTAACCAAGTTTTTTTTTTAATGACTCTTAAGCATTGCAGTCACCTAAGTCACCCCAGAATGGACACATTTTACCCAAAGTCAGAATTTTTTGTGAAAGCAGAAACAAGTTCCATTATAGCTGTTTCTGTTTTGGTGCTCCAAATGTACTTGTGCTGTAATTATGTGACTTCTATGGTCTTAAACTTTGGTTTGTGGTGTGGGAGAATGGTCTGTATTCTGTCAATTATATTTTAAATAAATGCTGATTGGCCAGTAGCCAGGCAGGAAGTATAGGCAGGATAACCTGACAGGAAGTAGAGGTGGGTCAATGAGAACAGGAGCATTCTGGGAAAGAGGAAGCCCATTCCCCCACAGTTGTGAGCCCGCCACCGAAGAAGCAAGATGTGACTGCCTTGCTGAAAAAGGTACCAAGCCATGTGGCTAACATATACTAGAATAATGAATGGGCTAATATGTGTTATAAGAGCTAATACGGGTCTGATAAAGGAGCAGGAGTCCCTCTCTTGGAGCAAGCAGAGAGAAGTTTCTGTTCAGCAACGGGTAGCAGAATTGGAAAAAATTAATGCAGAATTTTTATGTGTACAGCAGCAGCTTGCGCAAGAATTTAATCAAAAGAGAGCAAAATTTAAGGAGCTGTATTTGGCTAAAGAGAAGGATCTGAAGAGGCAAAATGCAGTATTGCAAGCTGCACAGGATGATCTGGGTCACGTTCGGATACAGCCGTGGGAGGCTCAGGCAGAGATGGAGAATATCAAAGCAATCACCACAGCCTCTGAGAATACTAAACTAGAAGCTCTCGATGAAGGTTAAAGGCAGTGGAGAGAAGAGGTTGCTTCACTTGAGGCTGTAATGAAAGAGACAGTTCGTGACTATGAACATCAGTTTCTTCTGAGGCTGGAGCAGGGGCGAGCACAGTGGGCACAGTATCCAGAAAATGCAGAGCGGGAAATAGCTGATTTGAGAAGAAGGTTGTCTGAAGGTCAAGAGGAAGAAAATTTAGAAAATGAAATGAAAAGGGCCCAAGAAGATGCCGAGAATCTCCGCTCTGTCGTGATGCCCATGGAGAAGTAAACTGCAGCTCTAAAGATAAACTGACAGAAGCTGAAGAGAAGATTAAAGAGCTGGAGGCCAAAGGTTAAGGAACTGAACCATTATCTGGAGGCTGAGAAGCTGTAGGACCGAGCTGTTTTGAACACTCAGAAATCTGTTCTACAGGAAGATGCTGAGAAATTGAAGGAAGAATTACATGAAGTTTGCCATCTCTTGGAGCAAGAAGGATAGCAGTACAGCCAGTTAAAACGTACATGGCAGAAGGCCAACTACCAGTCTCTGGAATCTCAGCGTTTATTGAAAAGAACAACAGAAACCCAGATTTTGAAGAAGTAAAAGTACCAGTAGTGTGTGCTTTAGCTCAAGAAGAATCTTCAACAGCATTTTCACTTGACGAGGAGCATTTAGACAGCACCCATGGTCAGTCCGTTCCTTAGATGCAGAATTGCTGTTACCATCTGGAGATCCATTCAGTAAATCAGACAATGACATGTTTAAAGATGGATTCCGGAGAGCTCCGTCTACAGACAGCTTGGGAACTTCAAGCTCATTGCAATCAAAAGCATTAGGCTGGGAATTGAACTACCATCTGTAATAAAATCTGATGCCCTCTTCTGTACTGTAGAACCTGTATACATAAAAATAAAAAAAAAATCTTAAAAAAAAGCATTAGGCTATAACTACAAAGCAAAGTCTGCTGGAAACTTGGATGAGTCGGATTTTGAACCACTGGTTGGAGTAGATTATGTGTCTGAGAACTTTGATACTGTGTCCCTTGGGTCACTGCAGATGCCAAGTGGATTCAAGTTAACCAAAGAGCAATTAAGGCAATGACGCCTGAACAGGAGGAGACAGCATCCCTCCTCTCCAGCGTCACCCAAGGTATGGAGAGTGCATATGTATCTCCCAGTAGTTACCGCTTAGTGAGTGAGACCGATGGAATCTCCTGCAGAAAGAGGTACATAATGCTGGAAATAAGTTTGGTAGACGTTGTATTCCAATTACAAAAAACAGTTGCAAGGAATTCAGATTCAGGAAGCTGAAACAAGAGACCAGGTGGAAAAGCTGCAAGCCATGCTAAGGCAAGCCAGTGTCCAGCTAGAGAAGACAATGAAAGAGAAACAGGAGCTAGAAGACTTTATCAAACAGCACCGAGGACTCAAGCCACCAGATATCTGCACTTGTAAGGGCTTCCTTGAAGAGTTACAACAGAGCTTTTGGATGTTCAGAAACAGATGCAGTCATGTGAACAGGTTTCAGAAGAGCTGGTGAGGTTACAGCAAGACAATGACAGCCTCCAGGGGAAGCATAGCTTGCATCTGTCATTACAGCTAGCAGAAGACTTCATTCTCCCAGATCCTGTGGAGGTGCTCCGGGAACTGGTGTTAAAATACCGTGAGAACATCATTCATGTGCGGACAGCAGCAGACCACATGGAGGAGAAGCTGAAGACTGAAATACTGTCCCTAAAAGAACAGATCCAAGCAGAACAATGTTTAAAAGAAAACCTTGAAGAGACTCTACAGCTGGAAATAGAGAACTGCAAGGAGGAGATAGCTTCCATTTCTAGTCTAAAAGCTGAATTAGAATGAATAAAGGTTGAAAAGGGACAGTTGAGATCATGTCGATGAATAAATAAAGCCATGTAGCAGACATAGTTACAGCTAAGATGAAATGGGCTAGAGATGGAACTCAGTTGGTAGCTCTCTGTAGCCCAGGGTGGGTTTGAACTCGTGGATCCCCCTGCCTCTGCCTCCAGAGTGCTGAGAATCAAGGCCAGCATGGCCCTTCCATGCGCTCTTTAATCAGATCTCTAGCCCAGTGTTTTCTCCTTTGACAGCAGCACCGAGGCTCCGCAGGAAGCTGTTTCCAACCTTTTAGTGAGGAAAAGGAGAGAAAGGATTGTTAGTCCTGCAGGAGGCAAATAATAGCTACTCCTGTAGCTGTGGGGGCATGGGGCTTGCCTCCCGGCACTGGGGTTGATCTGGACTACAGAGGAATATTCTGTCTCAACAACAACCATAACCACATCTAAACAAAACCTCACACCGTCTTGTGAATGGCAAGTTGGTGAGCACAGGGGCGGTTTCTGTTGGGAAGGATCCTGTGTGGTGGAAATGACATTGCGGTGCCCTGTGTGCTTTACAGGGCCACAGGGGGAAGTTGCTCGCTCATTTCCCTTTATATTTTTTGTGCAATCCTTTCTTCCTGTTTTTTCATTTCCTTTCCTTTTCTCTCTCTTTCATTCTTTTCTTTTTTCTTTTTTTAGAAACAAGGTGAATCCCAGGTTGGGAATGCATAAACTCACAGATACCTGCATGCCTCTGCCTCCCAAGTGCTGGGATTAAAGGCTTGTACTACCATGCCTGGTTCACCTTTCCATTAGCCAGAATCTGTAATCCCCAGAATTAAAATTTTTTTGCCTTTTCTTCAAATCTGACACACTAGACTTTTGATGAAGATATGTTACTTTTTTTTTCTTTTCTTGTTTTTTTGTTTTTGTTTTTGTTTTGTTTTGTTGGTTTTTCAAGATAGGGTTTCTCTGTGTAACTTTGGTGCCTGTCCTGTAAATAGCTCTTGTAGACCAGGCTGACCTCGAACTTACAGAGATCCGCCTGCCTCTGCCTCCAGAGTGCTGGGATTAAAGACATGCACCACCACTGGCTGCCTTTTTTTTATGTGAGACCGAAGAGATAGCTCAGTGGTTAGTAGTGCTTGCTGTTATTTCAGAGGATTAGAGTTCATTTCTAAGTACCCTGGTGAGGTGGCTCAGAACTATTCATGACAAGGAATTCAACGTCCTCTTTTAGCCATTACTCCCACCTGCAGGCAATGTGCATGCACACACATAGATATACACATAAATAAATAATAAACAAATAGCCTATTTTTTTTTGTATTAGATAGGGTCTCCTGAATCCCCCAAGTGCTTCTGATTCTGCACCTCTCACGTGCTAGGATTCCAGGCACACGTCATCATACGTGGTGTGTGCAGTGTTAGGGACTGAACCAAGGGCTTTTTGCATGTTAGGCAAGCACTCTAGCGCATGGGCCACATCCCAAGCCCAAAATGACTTTAAAGATTGTTCCTTCAGCTTTCTCTGGACAACTCTGTTTTCCTTTGCCCTCTGCTCCTGTGCTGAGGCCTCCCTGGGGATCCCTGTGGATATGGTGCTCCCTGTACCCTTTGGGTGCCCTGGGGATCCATGTGGATGTGGTGCTCCCCGTACCCTTTGGCCTCCCTGGGGATCCCTGTGGGCATGATGCTCACCATACCCCTTTTCTCTGGCTCTGCAATGTCTATGCACTTCTTTTTCTCTTCCTGGTATCTCTAACAAAGCCACCAGGATTCGGACATGACAACCTGATCTAACGCTTACTGCCTCCTGAAGGCCATTTGAAGAAGGACAGCTGTGGTTTGGAGGGAAGGGCCCTGTGAGAGCGGCCTCCCAGACCCAGATCTCACAGACACTCCTTTTCTCGCTGTTGCAGTTGTAAACCTGGAGGTGCTCAGAGCCCAGGAAGAATGGGAAGTGGTGGACACCATCCATCCAGACACAGGTAAGTCCAGTACAGCTACCATCAGGATCCGCATGCAGTCAGCAGTGACTGGGCATTTTAGCTATGTGACACAGAATAAAGTCCCTTCCACAGATCCTGAGATGATAGCCTACGACAGGAAGAAGGGAAGGAACGCCACAGCGCAAGGCTGCCATTGCTGCTCACCCTCCATCCAGTGCTAAGGGAAGATGAGAGAGTCTTGGTCAGGGTTGGCCCCTGAAGGGGGGCAGGGATGGGGGCAGAGAATGAGGGACCCTGTGGCAGCCATCTGCTGGCAGTCTCTGAAAGCTGGGAAGAATTACCTCAAGTCCTATTCTGACAGATTTGGATGGAGCTGTAGAAGGGTAGAGACCATCTGTTTCTCACCCGAGCTTCACCAAGCCCAGGAGAGATGTCACAGTATGTGGCTCCAGCCACCACCTGTGTCGCTGGTGACAAGTTGGTAGCCAGTGCTTGGTTTAGAGGTGACAACCAGTTGGCCACCAGTGGGTATTTGCTGTCAGGACAACTGCTATCCCAAATCCTCAGGTGTCTTCTCTTTTTACCTAGAGAGTGGGGTCAGCTCCCAGCAGCCTGGCCAGCTCATCTCCTTCAGCGAGGCTCTGCAGCACTTCCAGACCCTGGACCTCTCCTCCTTCAAGGTGGCTGTAGGGAAGTACCGGTGTCCAGCATGCACCTGTTTACTAAACTTCCTGAACACTGATCTTTCTCACCTAAGAAATCTTGGGGTACAGGATCTCAAGTAGCCAAAGGATCAGATTTGATGGCTTCCATCTATAATCCCAGCATTAGAGGAACTCAGGCAAGAGGGTTGTCTCATACTTACGGCCAGCTGCAGCATGTGCTCCAGGCTAAGCACCCATGACTGACTGATAGGTTATGTGTGTGCAGATTCCTTGTGGTGACCAGAAGCTGTTAGGTCCTCTGGAACAGGTGGTTGTGAGCCACCTTGTAAGAGAAGACTGTTCATTTGTTCCCGGTTTCCCAGACCTGAAATAATTACACAGAAACTGTATTACTTAAATCACTGCTTGGCCTATTAGCTCTAGCTTCTTATTGGCAAACTCTTCTATCTTAAATTAACCCATTTCAATTAATCTGTGTATCGCCACATGGCTGTGGCTTACTGGCAAGGTTCTGGCATGTCTGTCTCAGTGGGTGGCTACATGGCTTCTCACTGATTCCACCTATTCTCTCTATATATATCTCTTCCAGCCTGGCTATATTTTGTTAAGCCATTGGCCAAAAGAAGCTTCTTTATTAACCAATAAAAGCAACACATATACAGAAGGGACTTCCCACACCATTTCCCCTTTTTTGTTTAAATTAAAAGGAAGGTTTTAATTTTAACATAGTAAAATTATATATAACAAAACAGGTATCAAGCAAAAATTACAGTTACAATATTTATATCTTCTTTATCTTTTATCATAACTAAGGAAAACTATAAATATAACTTATATTCTTCAACTCCATCAAAGACTCAAGAAGGATATAATATTACCTAAGTTAACAGGAAGTACATTGTAAGCAACTTCCAGAACTAGAATTAACAGAGACATCTTGCTGCCTGGACTGTCACCCAGAATTCTTCTGTAATGTTGGGACACCCATCTTCAGTCTACAGGTCCATAGTATTCGGCAGACTTTTCCATGAAGCAGGAGATTTCAAAGACAGTTCCACCTATAATAGCACTTTGTCAGTCACTTTCTTCTGTGTCCTGCAGAATGTCTGGCAGTTCTTTAATGAAGCAGAAACCCTGAAGGATGGTCTTACCTTTAGGCAAGTTCAGCAGTCATTTTTCTGTGGATCCTGCATGTCCAGTTTATACAGCAAACCATCAAGCAGTCCAGGCAAGAGCTGTTTCTTGCCCAAATGGCTAACAAACTCCATGAGGAGCCTCTTTAATGCCCATCATCCTCTTGAAGTAAATTGGTGCTGTCAGGAGCAAATGAATCTCATGTTATGAAAAGTCCTAAGTTCTTAAAACATCTTAAATGCCATATTCTGTAGTCTTTGAACGATCTCAAGAATACCTATCCATCTGACATATAACTCTGTACATCTAGAAAACCTAACATGACTACAAGTTTGACTATTATAGATGACTCTCTATTAACCTATATTTCTTAATTATACATTACATTTTTAAATTAATTGTACAAACACAATACCTTAATCAAGAGCATATATATATATATGAGTTTATATATATATAAAACAAAACTGATCTTGAATTTGTATCAATAAACCAACTTCCATGCCATTGCAAATCTCTATAGCATATCCCCCTTTAAATGTAAAACATTTATAAACAATATTTGGGAATTTTGGTGTAGTTATCTCCAAACTGCTTCCTGCTTTTTGTTTGGCAAAGTAATTTTGGGAGGTGTTCACTGCAACCTTTTTGGTGGGTGTTGGTCCATAAGACCACATTAGTCTGGAAGGAATCTACAGGTTCTCATCCTCTGTGGAAACAAAAGAAGAACCTCTTTTCCAAATCAACAAATCCTTAGACCCAAATTTTGAAGTCAAGATACCTTTTAGATACATACATATGTGTATGTGTGTGTTTTGATTTAGCTTAGCAGCCCATACAATGAAATGTCTCTCTATACTTAGCTCCTTCACAGTCAAAAATTCAATGAAAACACAATAATATACATAGTCCAGACTCTCTGTGTCTATTTCATCTTTACATGGCTTCTTTTTTTTTTTACTCCTTTAAACCTATGACTGTCTCTTTAAAGATTTTGTTTTGTTTTGTTTTTTTATTAAAACAAAAAAGAAGAAGTGATGTGGGAGGTAATGTATGCTGTGAATATGTTTTATTGCCATTGGTTAATAAAGATGCTGCGTTTGGCCAATGACTTAACAGAGTAAAGCCAGGCTGAAAGAGATATATAGAGAGAGAGTAGGCAGAGTCAGAGAGAAGCCATGTAGCCGTCCACAGGAGACAGACACACTGGAACCTTGCCAGTAAGCCACAGCCATGTGGCAATACACAGATTAATAGAAACTGGTTAATCTAAGATATAAGAGTAAGCCAGAAATACGCTTAAGGTATTGGCCAAACAGTATTGTAATTAATACAGATTCTTTGTGATTATTTTGGGAATCTGGGCAGCCCGGAAATGAGCGTGTAGCCTCCCCCCACACTACCTGATGTGCTGTCGGTGCTGGGAACCAAACCCAGGTATTTTAGGAGAACGAGTCCTCTCATTAACCCATGGGCCATCTCTGAAAACCATGTAGAGCCCTGCTAGCCATTGTGGGACTGAACCTGAGGAGCCCTTGCAACCCTGTGATTCAGGACATGTGCAGATGTCTCCTGGGTTTTCCCTCCATGAGATGGGAAGTATTAGAATCAAAGACCAGGTAGCTCCTTAGGGAGGGAAGACAGACTGTCTAAAGAGCAGGGTACTAATGATTCATGGCAAATGAAGGAATATTCCCTGTAGGAGCCAGGAGCTGTTTGGGAATTTCATTAATTTTTTTTTTGGAACAGTCTTGTTATGTAGCCCTGGCTAAATTGGCACTCACTATGTTGCCAGGGCTGGTAATAAACTCAAGGCAATCCTCTATCCTCACCTCTCAGGTATTGGCGTTAGAAGCATGCACCACCACACCTTATATGACCTAGAAATTTAGGAAAGATGCTGGGAGCTAGAGAGATAGATGGCTTAACGGTTAAGAGCACTTGTTTCGGCAGAGGTCTCGGGTTTGATTCCCAAAACCTTCATGTCAGCTCACAACTATCCATTACTTCAGGCCAGGGGATTTGACACCCTCTTCTGACCAACCCAGGCACCAGGCACACACACGGTGCACAGACATTCATTCAAGAAAAGCACTCATACACATAAAATAAATTTTTAAAAAAGATGTCAGTACTAAATATGGTGGCATACATTTATAATTCTAGACTTAGGAGGCTGAGGCAGGAAGATATCATAAGTTCAAGGCCAACCTGAGCCACGTAGAGAGAAACTTTGTCTTACAAAAGTTGTGTAGCAGGTGGTACCCAGCACTCAGGAGGCAAAGACAGGCAGATCACTGAGTTTGAGGACTGCCTGGTCTACAGACTGAGTTCCAGGACAGCCAGGGCTGTTGTGTGGGGCAATAAGAAGACTCACTGGGTAAAGGCTCTTGCCTTACAAGCTGCATGGCCTGAGATTGATCTCCAGAACCCACTGAAAGGTGGGAAGAGAGAACTGACCTTCACACACAAGTCATGACAGGTATGCCCCTCACACACATCATGAATACATACACCAATACTAAAGTGGGACTGGGAAAAGGAGTATGAGGGGAATAAGCATACTGAGGGATGGTGGGCTCGAGTATTCAGTCTAAAGCCTGGATCGTGAGAGACGCAAGAGTCAGGCACTGATACACAAGGCCAGAAGATGCCAAAACCCAGCACCTGGTAAGGCAGGCAGTGGTGCCCTGACTTTAGGGAGCCAGCATGATGTAGTTTAGAAGAAACATCTAACTCATATAGCCATATGAAGAGTAGACAGCTTTGCTGAGACTACTATCCTGACTTTTACCTGGACATATTTGAGATTCCTTGTGGCCACGGCTGAGCCTAACTGGTCGTCAATAGCTAGTTCTGAAAAAGTCCAGAAGACAAATGGAGAGAATTGGCTGGGATTGTCTACACCCAAGGACAACTTGCAAAGGATCTGGGAGCTACAAGTGCCTGTCTTTGCAGTCTTGGTGACTTCTGACTCCTTTTCCTGGCCCAGACACTAGCTGAGGGGACAGTCTCTGCTTGATAAAAGTTTTAATAGATTGTCTGTGCTTTTCTTCCCAGAAAAGAATCCAGCCAACTATTAGAAGGACTGGGCTCGCCGCCCTCCGGCATTGCCTCTTTGGGCCACCAAAGCTGCACCAGGACCTTCGGGAAGAAAGAGACTTGGTCCTCACCATTGCTCAGTGTGAGTGCTCGGGGCAGCTCCAGGGCACACAGTGAGGCTCTTGCCTGTCCGGATTGCCGTGAGCACAGGAATGTTGGTAGCTTGTCTTGAACATAATCCAATTCCCCATTCTCCAGGGAGCACTGGTTTCTCCCTGGGGACAGCCTAGCAGAAAGGGTATGTGTATTTTGGGGCAGGTGGCCTGGACAGCCAAGACCCAATGCATGGCCGAGTGCTGCGGACCATCTACAAGAAGTTGACTGGCTCCAAGTTCGACTGTGCCCTTCATGGAGACCACTGGGAAGACCTGGGCTTTCAGGGTGAGAGAAAAGCCCCTGTCTTGCTTTCCTTGTCTGATTGATTCCAGATTCCAGAGAAGAGGCCATCTTGAGTAAAGAAAAACATCTAGGAGTGTCCCATGTCCCTTGGAGCTCTACCATCTGTTAGGAAGTACCTTTGTGCTGTGAGATGTGAGATGGGACATGTGGAGTGATATCATTTGATCTGGTTGTGTTCTTTCCTTTTTTTTTTTTTTTTTTTTGGTTTTTGATCTTTTGAGACAGGGTTTCTCTGTAGCTTTGGAGCCTGTCCTAGAGCTAGCTCTGTAGACCAGGCTGGCCTCGAACTCACAGAGATCCGCCTGCCTCTGCCTCCCAAGTGCTGGGATTAAAGGCGTGCGCCACCACCACCCGGCTGTCTTTCCTCTTTTTAAATGAAAATTGTATTCTAGTTATTTTAAATTGAAACAATTACTTCTCTTGCCTTTGGATTATACTTTTTTTTCTTTGGAGACAGGGTCTCATATAACCTAGCATGACCTTGGACTCTTATGCTCAGACTATAGCATGCCTTGGACACTCTGGGCCTTGTTTATCCCGTCTCTTCCCGCATGCCTCCTCCACTACTGGGCCAGCGAATAAGGACTGACATCACTCACTGGTGAAAGCCCAAATACTGAGTTCAGCTTCCACAAACACCACTAGCTGGGAGGACTTTGTTACTATGCTCCTGTGTCCCCTCCACTGAAGGGGCGTGGTGGGGGGCTCCTTACAGGTTAAAGGCTGAGCTCCTCACCTGGCTTTCTTTAATGCAGCTAAGGGTTCCTGGGTTCAGTCGGACAAGGGAAGAAACGTGGGCCCTCACTGGGGCTGCATGTATCTCAATAGTGTTTGGTTAGAGCAGGCTAGTTGTTATTTAAATTCTGTCTTGCTAGCTGCCCTTCTATCCCATCCCTTTGGCTACAGAGCCAGCTTTTCTGGGGCCTTTTCGTTCTGCTCTTAGTCTATTTTCTGTTGCTATCACCAAATACTCAAGACTGGGTAATGTGTAGAAATTAGAAGCTGATTTGGCTCATGGTTCTGGTGACTGTGAAGTCTGGCGAGCATGGCTTCAGAATCCCCTCGGTGTCTGTTGAGGGCCTTCTCACTGTGCCCTAACATGGTAGAGATACAGGAGAAGAGACAGGCCTGCGCCAGCTTTAGTCTTTCTTCTTCTTTTTCCCTTCTGGAGGTGGTCTCTCTGCCAGCCTTGAACTTGCTCTGCAGACAAGGATGACCTTGAAGTCTCATCCTCCTGCCTCTACGTCTCAGGTGCTGGGACAGCAGGCCTGTTGACAAACATGTCCAATTTATACCCTGCTGGAGGTGGCACCCAGCCTCATGTATGGCAGGCAATCACTCTGCAAGCTAAGCTATACCCCAGCCCCTGTCTTGGTGAAAATCTTGCTGGTAGTTGTGTGGGGAAATGACTACAGGAGGCTGTGGGAACAGAAGACCACTGCCAGGGCAGTCCCAAGTGCCGGAGGACGGGCTCTTTTGGTCCCATAGAGCCCAGTGCTGTCCTGAGTGCCGGAGGATGGGCTCGTTTGGTCCCATAGAACCCAGGGCAGCCCCGAGTGCCGGAGGACGGGCTCGTTTGGTCCCATAGAGCCCAGTGCTGTCCTGAGTGCCGGAGGATGGGCTCGTTTGGTCCCGTAGCGCCCATCACGGGTATGTCTGGAAGGGGGCTGTACAGGGCCAGTGCCAGGGCAGTTTCCCAGCCGTGTCCTGGGAGCACAAGCGATCCAGGCAGCCTCCACCCTCGCTCACTGTCACACCCTGGTTTCTGCCACAGGAGCAAATCCAGCTACAGACCTGAGAGGGGCAGGCTTCCTTGCCCTCCTGCATCTGCTGTATCTGGTAATGGACTCAAAGACATTGCTGATGGCCCAGGAGATCTTCCGCCTGTCTCATCACCACATCCAGGTAGGATTCTCAGGGGAGGACAGAGGAGAATACTGGGGAATGAGGACCCCAGCAGCCAGGAGGACTGTGTGGTTCAACATCAGGATGGTGGAGACGAGCCCGAAGTGGCTTCCCTGTCAGATGCTTTAGAATCTGAGCTCCACCATTCATTAGCTGGGAGTCTTTAGCAAATCGCTCAGTCTCTCCGAGCCTTGATTTCCTCATCTGCTGCAGAGAAATCTTGAAGACCGTGCTTACTTCTTTCTGTTGCTGTGGCAGAGTATGCTGGCAAGAACTGAGGAAGGAGAAAGAAGGAAGAAGGAAGGAAGGAAAGATTGTTTATTTGGTTGGTTGATTTTTCATGGCAGGGTTTCTCTGTGTAGCCCTAGCTGTCCTGGAACTCACTATGCAGACCAGGCTGGCTGCAAACTCAAAGATCTGCCGCTTCTGCCTCCTAAGGCAGGGTTTGTTTCTGCTCGTAGTTTGATGTTCTACAGTGCATCAATGCCAGGGAGTCACAGCCGCAGGAGCTTCGGGAGGCAGCTGGTCACATTGAACCAAGGTCAAGAAACTGGACAGTAACTGCAGGAATGCTAAGTGGGCGGCTCACTGTCCGTTTCATATGGGTCCAGATCCCCTGCCCAGGAAATGGGCCTGCCCACAGTTAAGATGTGTGTCTCCATGTGAGCAACATGATGGAGATCATCTGTTGTTAGCATGCCCAAAGGCCCAAAGGCCCATATCCCAGGTGACTCCAGACACTGGGATTTGTCAGCACTAACCATCATGACAGTTAGCTGGCCAGCTGGGAATATTCAGTTGTCTATGATCCTGTGCACTGGGCACACAAAGGGGTTGCTGCTTCCGGTGCTGGTAGCTTCTTTCAACTCTGAAGGGACAGGGTTAGTTTTGGGGTGACCCATGATCTTAATCATCAGCCCTGTGATGGCTTTGGTAGCCCCTTATTCTCTCTTGCCCTTTGGGGATAGGTCTGGTAGTTTTCCCATGTAGTGGAGGATAGTGTTGACTCCAAGGAAACAGATGTGGCCTGCTTCCTTCCATTTGTCTACCCAAACTCCTGGGGCTAGAAATTCGTTCATTCAGTAAACAAAGATCTCTTCCGCACCCCCCCCCCACTTATTTTTCATGGTGCTTGGGATGTGTCAGAGAACAAAACAGACTAGGATGACAAACAGCAGAGATGACAAAATGATATTCTAAATGAATCCCAGAATTCAGTAGAAACGGTAAGCGCGGAGGAAAGGGGGTGGGTAAGGTAGGGATGGTGTTTAATGGAGGAGTCAGGAGATGAACTGAGTCTGGAGGGGTGTGTCATGTTAGCCAAGCCCATGCCTAGGGTGCCTGACATTCCAGGCAGAGGGCCCAGCAGAAGTGAAGGTCACAAAGGGAACATGCCAGGGGCAAGCAGAAGGAACACGGCTCACAGTGGAGAAGAAGCCACCAAGGAAGCAGACCAGATGGTAGGTCCGTCAGGCACATGGTGGACTCCAGGTTTGTCCCTGTATCGCAAAGCTCGAGCAGCACAATGACAGGGGATCTTACCAGCTGCCTCGTGAAGGACAGTTCCCAGGGAGGTCCCTTAGGACCAGCCTAGTTGGGGTAGGCAGTGGGTGGGAACAGGGATTCCAGAAGAGCTGAAATAAAATAAGGAGAGTAGAAGCAGTGTGGTTTTTGATGGAATGGACACAGGGTTAGGCTTTGGACAAAGAAGACATTAGTGACTTAAAAAAAACAAAACTAAGAACAACTAAGGAAAAAAAAAGGTGTGATGGAGAATGCCTTTAATCACAGCACTCTGGAGGCAGAGGCAGGCAAATCTCTGTGAGTTTGAGGCCAGGCTGGTCTACAGAGTGAGTTCCATGTTATCTAGGACTACATAGTTAGACCTTGTCTCAAAAAAAAAAAAAAAGTACCATAAAGAAAAAGAAGAAAAAGTAGGAGTAGGGACTGGAGAGGCAGCTCAGTAGTTAAGAACACTAACTGCACCGGGCGGTGGTGGCTCACGCTTTAAACCCAACACATGGGAGAAGAGGCAGGAGAATGTCTGAGTATGAGGCCAGCCTAGTCTACAGAGGTGTTCCAGGACTGCCAGGGCTACACAGAGGAACCCTGCTCTTTTGGAGAGCCCAATTTTGGTTCCCAGCACCCCATGGTGGGTCACAGTGGTCTATAACTCCAGTATAGACTGGGCATCTCACACTTTTCTTCTGCCCTCCTCAATACCAGGAGTGCATGCAGTACACAGACATACATGCAAGCAAAGCACAATACACATAAAATTTAAATAAGTGCACATTCTGAGCTTCATGACAGTAATCCCAGCACTCAAGGCTGAGGTAAGAGTTCAAGGCCTCACACTGAAACTTCCCGGAGCTGGGAATGTTGCTAGGAGAGAATGCTAGAACGCTCACCTAACAGGCTGAACCCCAACACTACCATAAACTAAATACCTGTAGTGAGTTACACACCAGCCTGGGCTACATAGCAAGTTCAAGGCAAGCCTGCGCTATATAGCTAGAAAGAGAGAGGAAGGAAAAGAGAAGAGGGGAGGAAATGAAGGAGGGAGGGAGGAGGAGGAGGAGGAGGAGGATGGGGGGAGGAGAACCATCCCAGTGCCCCTCCCAGGCCGTCTGTGGGTCCCAGAAGCCGGTGTCGGTGTCCTACGAAGCCCTGCAAGCAATTCTGAGAGCTTGGCGCTGGCAGAGCTCCTGCTGTCAGTCACGAAGGTGATGTGAGATGCTCGGGAACACGAGTGACAGCGCTTCAAACGTCACATGAGCAGGAGACGAGGGGGAAGAAGGCAGGAGCCCAGGAGACAGAAGGCCCCAAAGTCACAGGAAGGAGGATGTAGTGTTGGCCTTGGCCTGGGGTCAGATGGTGCTGGCCTGTAAGACCTAAGGTCTGCCTGGTTGTCGCTGGGAACCACAGTTAGGACGTTTCCAGCAGATGTTAGAGGCAGAGTCTTGATTTGGGTTACGTTTAAAAGGGAAGAACAAATCTGAGACAGTAAATATAGACTCAGTTTTCAGAGGATTTTGTGGAAGCCAAGAAGGGTGATTGTGAGTTGAGATTTTAGTCATTTGGAGCTGCGTGTTTGTGTGTGTGTGTACGTGTGTGTGTTTGTGTGTGTGTCTGTGCATGTGCACGTGAGTGTGTTTGTGTGTGTGTCTGTGCATGTGCACGTGAGTGTTTGTGTGTGTGTGTACGTGTGTGTGTTTGTGTGTGTGTCTGCATGTGCACGTGAGTGTGTTTGTGTGTGTGTCTGTGCATGTGCACGTGAGTGTTTGTGTGTGTGTTTTCCTGTTTTTTATTTTGCTTTTTTGTTTTTAAGATTTTATTTCATTTTTATGTATGTGTATTTGTGCGTCTGCACACATGTGGGCAAGTGCCCATGGAGGTCAGAAGAGGGCATGGGCTCCCCGGAGCTAGAGTTACAGGTGGTTGTGAGCTGCCTGACAGGTGCTGGGTACCCATCTCCAGTCCTTCAAGAGCAACCAGGGCTCGTTACCACGGAGCCACTTCTCCCGCCCCTTGTTCTGTGTTTTTTCATTCTTAATTTTTGAGTCAGTGTTTCACTCTGTTGTCCAGACTGTCTCGGAACTTACGGGTTCGCCCGATTGTCCTTAAATACATAGCCATCCTCCTGCTTCAGCATTCCAAGTGCTAGGATCACAGCTGTGAGCCACCCTGCACGACAAGTAGTTATTCTCATGAAATTTCAAACGTACAGAAAAGTTGCAAGTGTTGTTATTATCTAATAACATAGGAATCAAAGTTACAGATTTGGGGACACAGCTCAGTTGGTAAGGTGCTTGCCTAGCGCATACAAAGCCCTGGGTTCAAGCCCTTTTCTACCGAGATTATATGGTGCCCATATTTTCAGTTTTGAATGAGTGAGTTTATTAAGCATATAGTAAGCAAAAATAAGAGAATAAGTATTGGGCTGGAGATATGACTCAGCAGCTAAGAGCACTGGCTGTTCTTCCAGAGGTCCTGGGTTCAGTTCCTAGCTACTATAGTCAGGCCATCTGTAATAAGATCTGGCGCCCTCTTCTGACATAAAGGCATACATGCAAACAGAGCACTCATTCATAAAATAAAGATTTTTTTAAAAAAGATAAGCTGGGTATGATGGTGCACGCCTTTAATTTCAGCACTCAAGAGGCAGAGGCAGATGGATCTCCGTGAGTTTGAGGCCAGCCTGGTCTATAAAGCGAGTTCCAGGACAGCCACGGCCACACAGAGAAACCCTGTCTTGGAAAACAAAAATAATAATAATAAATAATAATGATGATGATAATATCAGGTAACAAATAAGAATGCTCATCAAATCAGGCAGTTCCCACATCCAGAAGAAACCCTGTCCCAATGCCCATGCTGAAGTGATCGCCCTGGGCAAAGCAGGGTCTCCCCATGGGGAGCTTCCAGCTTCTGGTTTCCACTGCAGGCAGTTGTATGCCGCGGGCTAAACAACTGTAACGTATGTTGGAAATGGTTTTCCTTCTTGCTGGTCCCAAAGGTGCAGTGTCTTTAATGCCCTTGGCTGCTCCTTCTCCCTGCCCCCCAGACCTGGGGTGCCAGCCTGCTCCCGGACTTGGAGTCTCGGAGGACACTGGAGATAAACAGGCTTGAGTGTGAGACAGGAGACTGGTTCTCAAGAGTCCGCTCTCAACGTGCACAAGTTGCACGTGACAGTTTACCGGTGTAATGTATATTACAGGTCCCCAGAACCTGGCATGTTAGGGCATACCTGTAAATTCAGGGTCATCCTAAGATTCATAGCAAGTTCCAGGCCAATCTGAGTTACAAGACACCCTGTTTATGAAGAAAAGAGAAAAATAATTAACTGGAGTGTGGTAGGCCACACCTTTAATCCCAGTACTCTGGGACTCAGAGGAAGATGGGTCTGTTGTGAGTTCAAGACCAGTGTAGACTACAACGTAGTAGAGCTGTGTCTCTAACGAGAAGGAGGGCCTGGGAATGTGGCTCAGCTGGCAGAGTGCCTGCTTCGCATCCACAGGCCTGGCGCTCAGGCACAAACCAGGCATTGCGGAGCACACCTGTGATGCCAGCACTCTGGAAGTCAGGGTCATCCTCAGCCGCGCCAGGACTCAGAAGCCAGCAGGGGAAAATGGGAGGATGATTTAAAAGCAGGCTGAAGGCGTAAGTCACAAACAATGCCACACCAATTCGGGGTTATGATTATTAGGGTGGTATTTATTTAAAGGGGAAAAAACTTACAGATCACTGTCCCAGGCAACAGCCCTCTACGCAACCAGGAAAGGAGTCTAGTCGCAGGCGGAGCAGGAAGTGAAGAGAGAGAGAAGAGGGAAGTGGCCGCTTTTTTAAAGGGAGAGAAACCACGCCCCACTGGGCTGGTACCTCAGCGGTGATAGGCTGGAGGAGTGGGAGGACCTCCCGCAACACCTCCCCCTTTTGTTTAATTAAGAGAGTTCTAAACCTACTATGAAATTATATACAATAAGTACAAATATCCTATTCTAACTAGCTTAGGTCTTGTATAATAAATAACTTGGCCAAGTCATGAGAGAAAGTAACTACATTTATATAGTCTTCAACCCCATCGAAGATCTGAGAAGGGAAATAATGTTACCTGGGTAATTAGGAAGTTCAGTAAAACTACTTCCAAAACATGCAACAAATTACAGAGACAACTAGCTACCTGGGCAATCACCCAAAGTCACATTAGCAGCGTTGAAGCAACCAACTTTAGCTAAGGCCTAACATAACTGACATACCATTTTCTAAGGCAAGCAACTTTTCAAAACTATCTTACCCTGTCTTGGCAGGATATGACAGTCCTGTTTTATCCATTGATGCATGCTCTGTATCTTTGTCAGTTGTTGAGGTATGGGCATTTCTTTGCCCAAACGCCAGTTCTGCCAAAAAGAAAGGCTCCAGGTGGAGTGTCTTTGGTGCTCAACATTCTCTCGGGAATAGAGTGGTGTTGCCAGGAGCAGTTGTGTCTCACTACCACAAAACTCTGAGTTAGATTAAAGGCCATTTTCTACAGCTCTTTGAAGAAGTTGAAGATTATCTATCTATACTGAGTATAATCTCTATATATCTAAAGAACCTGATTAGTCTATTATAAATGACAAACTTAGATGACTATTAGTCTATATAATTCTCAATATCTATCTAACTTAAAGACTAAGACAATAAACGACTGTGAAACAAATGAGGACAATGACCTCCATATATAAACAATGTACAAATATACATTGCAGTAGGTAAATATATATCAATACACAATCATTATATAAGTATCTTAATCAGAGGTAGAAATGTACACTGCAATATGGTAAATATATACAATATATATATATATATATATCAATACAATATATGTCAATACATAAAAAATGTTTTAAACAGCGGTAGAAACATGCATGCGTACAATAGTCAATATAATTTAACTTTGTATCAATATACAAGAATCTATACCAATGTATTTGTCTAAAAACAGTAACTCACAATTACAAATCTATTATCCCATCATCCCTCTTTTTTTTTTTCAAAATGATCCCTGAGCGTATAAAATTCCT